TTCACTGATTTTCATCACTATACCTGTATCAAAATACACAAACCTATAACACGTCGGTCAAAAATAAAGCATTGGTTTTTAGATTAAAATAATATATAAGATCACTATATATATTTTTTTTTTTTTGATTTTCCATCAATGTAACATAGAAATCGTATATTTGTCTCCAATTATCGTTAAATATATGAGAGTATTTATGCTGAACCATACCCTATCGCTTATATTATAATAAATCATATGATAGGTGGGTTGGTACAGATTATATCTTATATGCATCACTTAACACTCATTTTACACAAAATACTAGGAATTTATTTTTAAGTTTTTCGACTAGATACATAAATATTTTTATACACTATTGTATTTACTTCATAAATAATGTAAAGCACATGTATATTACCATCACAAGTTAGGATATATCTTACCATATTGTATAGTAGATATAAAATAATAAATTAGTCATAGCTTGATTTTATATAGGTATATTATATTAATTTGTATATTGAATATTCATACTATTACATTTCTATATTCGTTGTAAATATAACCATTTCGATCGTAAATATCAACATACTGATAGTAAATATAAACATATTTACAGTCCAATACATATAGACACTATACAGATTATATCTTATATGCATTACTTAACAGTCATTTTACACAAAATACTAGGAATTTATTTTTAAGTTATTCGACTAGATACATAAATGTTTTATACAAGTCAACTATTTAGAACTGAAATATTTCTGTTATAGTGTATAGTTGCATTTAATATCTAACGCGATATGATTGATGGATTGATTTACAAACTATAGTTATATGTTATTATTAAGAATTTCAATATTTTAGACATGATCTTGACATAGAAATTATATTAGTATAAGATTTTATCAAAATTATAATATTATCATAATTTGGGGGTACAGAAAAGTATAAGTAATAAGCATCCATGTAGTATATAACTGTACAAATAATACATTTCTATAATGTTGTACAAAATAAATGCTGGGCTATGTGTATAAGATATGCATTAAAAGTAATTTAAATATATATATATGGTTTTCTATATATGAAATCATTAAGTGGAAAATTATCACCGCTTAACGTACCTACATTTATTTGTTTTGCTAATATGTGATGAAGACAACTATATAATAGTATGCTTTTTATTATTAATACCATGGAATTTAAATATGAATTGTTTCAATCTTTGAAATAAATACGGTTTTTCATGTAATGCTTTTTAAGAATTCTTAATCTGATAATAAATATGATATTCTAGACTTAAGGCTGCATTAGAATTGTGTGCATAAAATGTTGTAAATAGTACATGGGTTTATCTTTACTTGAAAATGAAGCAATCAAAAAAGTTCATATAATATTATATCAAAATATATTATTGAACTTTAATTATATTATCAGTTGACAACGATATGTATCGTCGTTTAGACTCGTTATAATGGTGTTCATGCATTTAGATACACTTAATAACTAAACTGTATATATGCCTTTGATGGTAATTAGTTAGGAGGGATATGATATTTTTTTATAATATACATGATTTTAATGACATTATGATATTTCCTCTATTTTTCACTAAAATATTGTAATGTTTCCATATGCTTTATTAAAATTATGATATTTTTACTTATTTTAGCAAGATTTTTGTATTTACACACAGACAGCTATGTTTTTATCCAAATTAGTACATTTTAACGTATATTCACATTGATGAGTAAATTTTTAGATTTCAGCATAAATTCTACCTACGTATTTAACGAAAAAATGAGTAAATTATATATGAGTACTGAGTAGGTCCTATATTGCATTTAATTGCTGTATATTGGATAGCGTTGTATCAGTATGCATGTCTACGTTGTGATATATTTTATGTATCAACTGTTAATATATAATAATTAATATATGTTTAATAAATTAGGTATCAAATAACTTATATATCGAAAATATTTTATGTAAATTATTATTTGGAATAATAGATCGAGTCTATATGTATGCATGAATGCTTTTTAATTAAATATATATCTATGTACGTATGTACCTATGTATGAATACTATTTAATTATATAAGAATATGTAAGGTTATAATATACTAGTATGTGTGTATGTAAATATGTGTATGCCTATATGTAGGCGACTTATTGAGGTGTATATTTGAATGTTTATATGCTTATATATATATTTATGTAATCCATATAATATGTTTAGGTGTTTGTAATGTCAAATATACATATCGGTATATGATTTAATTTGGGTTTGCATATCGTACTATGTTTCACATGTTCATGTAACTGTAGAAATAGGTGGTGGCTCGATTATAATATTTTTTACTTATTGTAAAATAAGTATTAGTAATAAGTAATTATATTTTTATATAATTCTCACTGCACTTGACGAATAATAGTACAATAATAACAGTAAGAGATTTATTTTTTCTCTTAAATCCATGTATGTATATATTATAAGCTATGATTTTAGTCTAATGTAATCTCATACAACATTTCAATGTATATATGATTGATTAAAAATATAAGTAAGTATCTGTAATATTATTCACGATATGTTGGCCTAAAAGTATTGTGTGTATATATATATATATATATATATACAAAGATATAAGAATGTATGTACGTTCCCACCTATATGCTCATTGTAGCATGAGTCTGTATGGAAAATGACTAATAACATGAAGATTTATAAATGTTTTATTGATAAAGATGTTACTATATAACTACAGATGTAACTTTAATTATTGTGTAGGTACCTATTTCGAGATTTTTGTAATAAACCGCATAAAGTACCTATCTACTGAAATGAGAGATATTGTTAATAGTTCTTAATTTTCCGATATTATAACTTATACAATGATATATAGCGGAGGCGATATGCCTGTGTGTGTGTGTGTGTGTGTGTGTGTGTGTGTATACACACGGTAAAATACAAATATTATACAAGTGATATGACTGTTGTAAGTATGCGCTGATAAGTGATAAAATATAATATGTGTCGGTCACTTGAGTGATATGTAAGTTCCATGCGTTTTCATATAATATACGTTTTGCTCGAGTCGAATGGGGTTTCGTTGGTGGTGACGGCGACTGGAAACGCTTGTGTTTTTCAGTTATAATATGTATACCTATGTCGGTAGTGATATGTAAGATTTAATCTATTCTGTGGTTATATGGTGTGATATCTAATAATATATACTATATACAACTCTATACTAAAAAGTAAATATTTTGGAAATAATAATTCCTTAATATTATTATATAATATAAGGCGAGTTTAGGTAAATATAATATAGACTAGTGGATAATATGGTTAAAATGAAAAGTTAGGATGCATAAGCATATTTGTGTTTAATTCAAATTTAATAAAATAAATGTATTATTTCTAACATGAAATGTACTGTATCAACGGTGAAGTCAAAATATGATAGTTTAATTTTTGCATTTAGTGATCAAAGTATCTCGAAGACGACGTCTGAGACCCTCAGAGTCGATATCCTCTATTCTCCTTAGTCTGTATATACCTACTAGTTACATAAATATATAATATTGTGTCATAAATATATAATTTTGTGTATGTTGTCGAGTAATCCTCTGAGCCGAATAAAATATAGGTAGATCTACCTATTTTAATTGAGATATTTTTCTATAATATGCATGTTTAAGCTTAGGTACTATGGTCTCATCTAATAGAATTGAACTACCTAGATGATATCTAGATGTATCTAGATGATTATTGGGCATAACAATTTTGTAGTAGTAGGTACAACCAAATGATGAGCGATGTTGTACTTTTGAAAATACTTTTTAGGGTGGATGTATTGGAATGTTTAAATGCATCTATGTGAATGTGAGTAAGTATTTTAAAGTATGTATTTCATGTATGAGTGTGTCTATATGTAACAAAGTGTCTTATATTAATATGTAAGTTGTATAACAAGATTAGATGTGTGTGATGGTGTATATAATATGAAAGTACCTATTTATGTATGAATTCTGTATATATGTGCCATGTATGGGAATAAATGATAATATATAATACAATAATATGTAAGTTTTATAGTATGTTTAGGTGTTTGTTATAATGAATGTAATATTACTTTTTGAAATGTTGTGTTACACGGTGGAATACAACGCTTAAACTGATGAAACTTCCCTGTAAAAAGGTGCTCAGAATATTATTTAAATATGTATATAATATGTGAGTATCTAAATATGTATGAACTAACCTATGGTTATATGAGTGTATGTGCATGTATGTGCTAGAGAACGGGATGAACGAAACTCATCGACATCTGTAAACGGTTGCCCGTATATTATATATATTTCGGTATGTTGTCAGGTAGAGGAATGTCTGCGAATATCTCTATACTTCAACGTGTATATTTTGAAAAATATAATTTTTACAAGTTTATGTATGTGTGTGTTTGAGATACATTCCGGTGTATAACGTATGCTTTAGCGATTCGTTTTTTTTTTTTTTTTTTCGTATGTAATTATATAATAAGAAAACTGTATACTATTTTTATGTATGTTTGTATGTATGTATGTATGTATGTATGTATATATGTATGTGTATGAGAGTTCATATGTAATTGAATGAATAAAGGACTGGGTGGCTGTGAGTGTGTGTGTGTGTGTGTGTGTGTGTGTGTACAAATATTGAATACGAATAATATCTAATGGCAGGAAATATACGACGAAGCACCATTGTGGTCTAATGTTAAGATGGGTGCACACTTGTGAGGTGGCTATTAAGAATCCGCGACATCCTGGCGATAGTCTGTAGACTGACTATTATTATACAGGCTGAATTGATAGCTAATGCTTCTTCTATTCGATATACTATAGGTCATTTATTGATTGTTCGGCGAGCGTGCGAACGGATTTACTAATGACAATACGCGCAGCTGCAATCTATTATTAAATGATTCTTTTGCAGTTTTATGTAAAGCTATGGCAAGTATACATCAGAATTCGAATCTCTCCAAAGTCTATTTTTATAATGATAACACTGATATGATATACAAACACGTTCGCGGTAACTGATAACGTATATTTTATTACATATATCTTGGAAATAATTTTATAATGATATGATATACAAACATGTTCACGGTAACTGATAACGTATATTTACTAATGACAATACGCGCAGCTGCAATCTATTATTAAATGTTTCTTTTGCAGTTTTATGTACCCGTTAAATATGGCAAGTTATTATCATAAAGTATATGTGTCGGGGTGGCGCAGTGGTACGGTGATCGCTGGCCGAACCGACGGACTCGGGTTCGAATCCCGGTCCGGAAAAAAATTTTTAGCTTATTTTCCCCGGGCGGCGGCGGCGGTGTGATAACGGAAATAATATGATAAAATATGATAACACTGATAAAATATGATAACAGTGATAACAATAATATAAGTCACGCACGTCAGCGGGCGGTGTGATGAGTGATGAGGATGTGGGGTGAGGGATGAGTGATCGGGCGGTATGATGAGTGATGAGGATGCGGTTGTGGGTTGTGGATGTGGGATGTGGGATGTGGATGTGGGATGTGGTGTCAACAAGTCATGGTGGTCATCTAATTCGTCTTCACATACTTTTACAGGAAATATTAAAGTTTGTTGTGATTTTGTTTTGAATCGGTTTTTGCGAGAAATGTTTTTAATGTCAATATTATTTTTATACGTAAGCTTCCCTTTTTTTGTACTATATATATTAACTGATACTCCTGGATTTTTTTTTTCAAATTTTCCAACATCGTTTAGCGTAACGGGGAAATTTAAATTTGAAAAATCGTAGCTGTTTTCTACTTCGGTGTAATTAGATCCTATTCGAAAATTATTTACGGGGTCGACGAGTTTGGCCAAGATGCTATATTTAAAACATTTGTTGTCTGTATTTTGTACGTTGATTGTCGCTTTTTTCCTTTCTAGACATTCGGGTAGTGGTATATAAGAAGAACCTCCCAATGGCGTGTATTTATTAATATTGATTAAAATACCATCAATACTAACTAATGAAAAGCCGCTTCCTTTCAACATCATATCATTCTCCTCCTGTATAATTTTGATAAAATCTTCGTCTAAACTATTATTTATATCAGTGTCTAAAAACATCGATCTACATTTTGTTTTAAATGCCCTATTTTCTCTCACGTCTGTATTGGGAATCTCATATGTTGACTCTACTTTAATACTATATTTTATTGAACCTTGTTGTATAGAATTAAAAAGTAAATCCCTAATACTAAGCCTTGACTGTTCTAAAAATACTCTATAATCCATAATGTTTTCAATATTTTTTTTAAAAAAATTTTTACTTAAACCGTTGAATACTGAAGCAACTTCTCTAAATTCTGATGTTGTAGCGTTCATTCTCATACGTTTGCTTTTTCTAGATTTTTCCTCGTCCTTTTCTAAGTTTTCTAATAATCGAACCATATCCATTTCATCGATGTCATTTCCCCATACAGATGACTCTGATAATTCATTTGACGAACCGGCCGGGATGTCGGGGACAAATATTTGCGGTCCAATCTGAATCTGTGGAACGGGTTGATCAATCTGTGCATTGGGCTGACGATGTGCCGGAACGTTAACAAAACCTTGGGGAAAAATATAAGATATAAATTAAGGTAAAATAAATAATATTATATAAACCGTAAATACATACCATGAACATTTTTCAAATGTTTGGTTAGGTTGGTTTTATAGGTGAATATCGATGGGCAAACAGAGCACGGAAAACGAATACCGGTATGAGTTTTTCCATGTCTGACTAAAGCATCTTTACGTGTAAATTCAGATGAGCACTGTGTACATTGAAACATTTTTAAAATGTTTAAGGTAATGATGATAGAAAAATGAAAACGAAAAGAAAAACACTTGTAAAAATTTTTCAACGTTGGAAATTTTTTAAAGTTGGAACGAGAACGATGAATGTGTCGGGTAGACTAAACCGTTTCAGCTATACTCGGTGATATATAAGCAGAGGTACGCTAATGCTTCTTGTGGTAGATACTTGAATTATTATGAGAGGTGGCTATTAAGAATTTCGATTCAAAATGACTATTAAGAGTCGGCGACATCTTGGCGGCTGGTGATGACCAAGACAATAATTAGGCTATTAGGGTTAATGTATTTTTCATTAATTGGTATCTTCTATTCGATATACTATAGGTATAATGGTCATTTATTGATTATTTTATAATGTTTCCTTGTGTGTGAACAAATATTGAATAGTCTAATGTTATATCTAATGGCAGGAAATATACGACGAAGCACCATTGTGGTCTAATGTTAAGATAGGTGCACACTTGTGAGGTGGCTATTAAGAATCCGCTAGGCTATTAGGGTTAATGTATTTTTCATTAATTGGTATCTTCTATTCGATATACTATAGGTCATTTATTGATTGTTCGGCGAGCGTGCGAACGGATTTACTAATGACAATACGCGCAGCTGCAATCTATTATTAAGGTGGCTATGACAATAATTAGGCTATTAGGGTTAATGTTTTTTTCATTAATTGGTATCTTCTATTCGATATACTATAGGTCATTTATTGATTGTTCGGTGAGCGTGCGAACGGATGTCTATTCCATCCTTTCATTAATTGGCTCCTAATACGCAGCTGCAAGCTATTATTAAATGTTTCTTTTGCAGTTTTATGTACTCGTTAAATATGGCAAGTTCTTAATATAAAGTATATGTGTCGGGGTGGCGCAGTGGTTCGGTGATCGCTTGCCGAAACCGACGGACTCGGGTTCGAAACCCGGTCCTGAAAAAAATTTTTGGCTTATTTTCGGCCGGTGGCGGCGTAACATGTGATAAAATACGATAACGAAAATAATATGATAACAGTGATAAAATATGATAACAGTGATAACAATAATATAACTAACGCTCGACGCGAGCGGTGTGATGAGTGATGAGGATGAGGGGTGAGGGATGAGTGATCGGGCGGCGGCGGCGGCGCGCGGTGTGATGAGTGATGAGGATGCGGTTGTGGGTTGTGGATGTGGGTTGTGGGTTGTGGATGTGGGATGTGGGCGGTATGATGAGTGATGAGGATGCGGTTGTGGGTTGTGGATGTGGGATGTGGGATGAGGATGAGGGGAGTGATGACTAGGGACTAGGGACTAGGTTTCAGAACCGCTCTTTTTATACTACTAACGCTCATCATAAAATATTAATGTGACTATATTTTAGATTCTGAGCGGAGCAATGAATGTATTGATTAAACAATTGTGTTATTTTTTATTAATGTTTGTTATTCATCACGTTTTAGGGCATTTAAAATGCTTCCATTTACTATTTTAGAATAATTTTTTCTGATAGGAAAGTGAATCTTGTTTGTGCTTTCGGGCTAACGAATGAAACTGTCATTCCCTTGAAAATCTTGCGGTATATCGAATAATTAAATGGATTTTGGTACCCTCGATGTAACAATGTTTTTTTAGCCAAAGCTATCATGATGTAACGAACTTTTAAAATTTTGTTGCTTGATTATATTACGTATTTATTATTTTTATTAAGTTCTTTACAGAATACTAAGACATGGTATCTATGTCAGTGTGTGTATTTCATATTTTAAATTTATAAAACAATTTACCGGGTAAGCACTAAGCGCAAGTGGCTACACAGAAAAAAACTGATTTAAAAACAAATAAATATGTGCCTACTGCCCACGTTATACGTATAGGTACAGCAGTGGCATACTCATGTAGGCTAACGGACCGTATTTTTATTATTTAAAAAAATATATTTTAGCTATAATAAAAATGTATGTACCTACTGAGAATTTTCAATTTTGACCTACCAAAAGTACCACCTGGAACGAATTTGATTCTAAAGGTTAGGTTATATATTTAAGTAACTTAATAAACAGAGATAATTTAAATACTATTTTAGGGGAGATTCCATCATGCCCTTTTGACATTTATATATTTGACATTATAACATTTACATTCAACTATTTAAGTAATTAAATAAACACTGATAAGATCATATACAATTAAATGTATGACAAATTAAATTTGATATTTTGATATTTATATATTTGACATTATAATATTTACATTCAACTATTTAAGTAATTAAATAAACACTGATAAGATCATATATAGTTAAATGCCAATCAATTACAATGTAGTATAATAGATCAATAGGGCATGATGGAATTATACTTGTGCTATTTTGTCATACTTTCATTAAATATTACAATTTTTAATAATGTTATTTAACTGTGTATGTGTTATATTCTCTTAAAAATTAAGTTACATAAATTTGTGTAAATTAATTAGTAAATACTCTGTATCTATAAGTATTTGAAAGTAAATAACAATGCCTAAGTGTGTTTTTGAAAATTGTGATAGTGGTACTAGGAAGAAAGGAAAAAATCAGATGAACCATGAAGTCCACCTGCATAGGTTCCCAAAAGATATAAATTTATGTCTTATGTGGTTGCAACAAATTGAATATGGCCAATCAATTAATGCAAAATCCATAAATATTAAAAGTGGTGAGATCATAGAACATAGACATTACAATTATTCACACATATTGTATTGTTATTTTTCACTTACATTTACTTATTAAATTCCATCTAGCTGTTGTTTGCTCATTGCATTTTGCTCCTTACCATATCAATAAGCCATTGATACAGAAACTATTAAATTATTCACCTAAACGTATGCGAAATCTTAACGATGATGCAATTCCTCTGAGGTGAATAATATCATAGTATCCTGGTTTAATTTTTTTTTTTTTAGTTCCATTTAATACCAACATTTTTTTTTAATAGTATTTTTGGCACCGACTATTATGATATTCCTTTTATAAGACCAGTGAACCCTTCTACACCACTAAACATAGTTGAACCACAGAAAATAAATACGCCTGCTGGAGTATTTAATGTGTAAGTTTCCTATGAATATTTTTTTTTATTTTAATAATTTTTAGACACATTTAAATATCAATTGAAGTAGAATTCTAAAATATTTGTATAATAATGCTATGAATACATTATAGAGAATCTAATATTCAACATCAAAATATTTCAAAAAAGTTGGATTTTGTCAACATTGAACTAGGGGTTCAACCGTTAGTTGATGAAAGTGATGATAACGACAATCCTTCAAATAATGGTCTGATTCAGAAGTAATTTGGAAACTAATTAAATTAATAATACATATTTTGTTAATTCTTTAATGTAATAATTATGTTTATTTTTATGTAGACTAATGGAAACTGTAGATTTCTATAAAAATAAAAATAATGAACTTAAAGAGGACAAAAATAATTTACAAAATAATATTTTAACTTTACGTAAAGAGAATGAAGCTCTAAAAAATATTGTTAGTGGATTAGAAAATAATTTTGAATTACGTTTCCATTCTTTATTGTCAAAACTTTTTACGCCAACTCAAATTGATATGCTGTTACATCCTAAACTGAAAGCATATAAATGGACTTCTGATGATATTTCATCAGCTATAACATTAAGATCAGTATCTCTAAAAGCATACAGATATTTGAGGAACAAGAAATGTTTTCCTCTACCAGGTAGGGCAACTAACAATGAAATTATTTTTTTATTTTTTATAATCTTTAAATTTAGGTATGTCTACTTTGAGGACATGGGCTTCTACATTCACAATTCAACCTGGTGTTTTAACTAATGTATTAAAACTGATGAAAGTCAAAGGTATAATTGTGTAAAGAAGATCTAAAGATTTTAGACATTTAAATAATATCAACTTTGATTTTTATTTTCCATATATAAGGTGATTTTTTAACTGAGGAGGAAAAATTAACAGTAATTTCTTTTGACGAGACATATATTTCACACAGAATTTGTTATGACAAAAAATTTGAAAAAGTATATGGTCCACACAGATGCGTTCAAACCGTTGTAGCTAGAGGTAAGCAAATTAATTAATAATTTTTAATTTATATTAAATGTACTTGAATAAAATTAATTAACCTATAGGGTTATTGAGCAATTGGAAACAACCAATATTTTATAACTACGATACTTCTATGACAAAAGAATTACTTAATAACATAATACAAGCACTACATGAAAATGGTTTTAATGTGATCGCTATTGTGAGTGATATGGGTTCTTCAAATGTTGGATTGTGGAGAGATATGGGTATTTCTATAACAAATACGTCATTTAAACACCCGATGACTAATAGAAATGTACATGTGTTTGCTGATGTGCCGCATATGTTAAAACTTGCAAGAAACCATTTTCTCGATCAGTAAGTTGTCAATTAATACCTGAAATCAAACAAAAAGTTAATTATCAGTTATATTAAAATTTATAATATCACCTATGTACTCATCTAGAGGATTCATATTACCTAATGGTAAATACATCGGGAAGAATATATTGCAACAATTAATGAAGTTGAACGAAGGAAATGATTTCAAGCTAGCACATAAGATTTCTGACCGTCACATTTCTGTAGAGGGTACAGCTCGAATGAATGTACGGTTAGCTGCAAATGTATTTTCAAATACAGTCGCCAAAGCCATATTATTCTGCGGAAACAACAAATATATTAATGATTACAACTGGAAAGAAGTAAAGTTATACACTATTAAATTAGCAATTAAAAATATGTACAGGCGATCGTTTGACTAGTGTATCATTATGATTATTATTGTAAATGTATCTTGATTTGTTTTGTTATAGATATTATCAATAAGTTATTATGTCTTATTATTTTTAAAAATTAAATTAAAGCTATACTTATTAATTGTGTAAAAATATAAATAATTATGTAATAGACTCCCTACTCCCGCCACAAGCTTTGCTTACAGGGAGTAGGTATCAACTGAATATAGAAATATGTAAATATTATATAATATGTATGTAGTATATTACTTACCTATATACTTTGGATTTGGGTGTCTTTCCAAAAATTCTGAAGATGAGCTCTGTAACCCCAATATTCAAATCAGGGGATAAGTCTGATGTGAAAAATTATAGACCTATTTCAATCTTAAGTCATATTGCCAAGTTGTTTGAGCTACTGGTGCTACGGAATATTCAACCATCGGTTAACAATTGACGAACAATATGGCTTCAGACCTGGCCGCTCGTCTGTATCGAACTTAATTGTACTTAACAACTACATCTTTAAAGCTTTCGAGCAGCACTCTCAGGTTGACGTCATATTCACGGACTTTGCTAAAGCTTTCGACAGAGTCGATCACCAAACTCTCATGGATGTTCTGTACAAGTCGGGATTTGGTGAGCCTATTCTTTCATGGCTTAAATCGTACCTAACAGGCAGAGTCCAATGGGTCAAAGTTTTTGGACATACATCCAAAGCGATCGAAATTCCCTCGGGTGTTCCTCAAGGAGGCCACTTGTCCCCTATTATTTTTTCACTATTTATTAATGGCCTAAAAAATGTGATACCCTCCGCCAAATTCCTTATGTTTGCAGATGACCTTAAAATCTTTAGTCGTGTTGACACATTAAGTGACTGTGACTCTTTACAAAGTGACCTAAATTCCATGGTTTCCTGGTTCAATTCTATTGGACTACAGTTCAATACAGATAAATGTCACAGTATGTCATTCTCTAGAAGTAGGTCTATTATCAAATATACATATATCATCAATAATTCAATCGTTGAATCGGTATCTATGAAAAAAGATTTAGGTGTTATACTCTGTCCTAAACTGAGCTTTCACTCTCATATCGAAGCAATGTGCTGTAAATCTCTAAAGACACTTGGTTTTGTGCTACGATTATCTAAAGAGTTTAAATTGTCTGCTTCACTCAAGTCTATTTACTGTTCCCTTGTTAGATCCCTTCTTGAGTACGCCTCAGTACTATGGGACCCCTGCACGGCAGTGGATTCATCTCTTATAGAACGTGTCCAGAGAAGATTTTTAAGCTCATCAGCGTTTATTCTGAAAATTAACCATCCACCTCACGACTACCAACCAGTCATGCAAAAACTAGGTCTTGTCTCTTTAGCCGACAGAAGAGTTGAGGCTAACTTACTCTTTTTACACAAACTAATTGATGGATCTATTGATGCTCCTTCCCTACTCGCACAAGTTGGTTTTAAAGTTCCATCCCGTCAAACTAGGTCATTTGCTCCCTTCGCTATTACTCCACACACGACCAATTACGGCAGAAACCAACCAATTGACAGGATGATGCGCCTTGGCAATGAGCACCCTCACTTGTTTATTAGATATCAGTAGGTTGTTGTATTATTACTATCATGTACCTAAAAAAAAAAAAAAAAAAAAAAAAAAAAAAATGTAAATGTATTTGTCACTGTATATTATATCTTGTGTTTGTATTATTACTATTGTATCCATAAAATTTCTATTTGTAAAGTTGGTTGGGTAACTGTAACACCCACTTAGGTTAAATTTATATATTTCTGTGCATTATATTGGGCTCACTGCCCGTAATAAATAAATAATAATAATAATAATAATGATAATATTGTAATTTGAAATAAATAAATACTAAATTAATTATTAGAATATTAATACTGACCAATTTAATCTGTGTAGGCTTTAGACACTATAAGTCTATTCAATGACTGGTTCGACTTGATGAATACCAACGAGATGTTTGATAAAAATACTTCAAGCTATGGGCTCGATGAAACCAAACAAACAGAGCTTTTGCATTAAACATGAGGGTTCGTGGGAAAAAGTCAATGCTGCCATTCCAAAAAGGTAAAAGAATATTTGATAGAAAAATATGTTCTCATATTATTATATTAAAATAATAAACATGAATTAGGTATTGTGATTTCCAATACATCCCTCATCAACTTATTTGGAGATTTAAAAGAATATGGTGTTTCTTACATTACTACTAGGAAATTAAATCAAGATATAGTAGAAAATCTTTTTAGTTACCTCAAAGGAATGGCAGGGTCGTCAAATTACTGTATAACAGCATTAGATTTTATGTATTGGTTTGTATTTTACTTAGATAATTATTTAAGTTGACTTAAATTTTAAATCACAAATTTTCTATTACATAAATAATTAATTAAAAATAATTTTTATATAATATAGTCTTAGATGGTATATTTTAGGTAAACACTCAAATGTTGTGTTTACCGAAAATAGAAACACCGAAGATGGAATAGAAGAAAGTTTTCTTAACATTAATGAATGTTTAACTGGTGAAGTTATAGAATCTACTGATTTAATTACTGATTCTAAACATAAAATTCAAGAAGTGGATGATGATTTGGCTCAAATTGAATCAACTTTTGGAACAAGCAATGTTCAAATTTCAAACACTTGTATGGATTTGTTAAATCAGTTTGAATCAGAGGTATATATAAAAAATAATACAAATGTATAACATGTATGTTAAATGTTCAAGATATAGGTACATAACAATAATTATTTACTTTACAGGCCTTATACATGACTGACAATGATTCCTTCAATGGCCTTGAGAAGGAAGGTTTGCAATATGTCTTAGGATATGTTGCATCTAAATTTGCAAAAAAATATCCTCTAATTGTATCGGAAGAGCCAAACACCAATGATGAAAATTGGATTAGATATCTGTCTAAAGGGGGATTGACGTATCCATCCAGTCAATTAATTAAAGTTGCAAACATAATGGAAAAGTTATTCATTGATCTTCATGGAAATCACCTATCGAAAGAAGAGGGTATAATGAAAAAATTAACACATTCTTTAGTTGAAAAAATTAAACTATCAGCACTAGACATACCCGTTGAAGTAGTTCAGTGTCTTGTCCGAACCAGAACATTTATTCGATTAAACAACCTTAATCAAATAATATTAAATACAAAAAATATTAGGAAGAATAAAATTAAGCTTAAAAAATTTACTGGATAAAATATAATGAATTTAAATAATTAGTAATATATTATTCTGTTCTTTTAAATGTACCTAAAATTTGTAAAAATAATGACATACTATGTAATTATGTACATTATAGCATATATATTATCATATTTTAATTGTATACATTTTTTTTTTAGTTTGTATTTAAAATCTGATATAATTTGGTAACATTTAACTCTTCGCCTTCACCATAAGATCCAGCTTAAAGAACACAGACAAATTATGTATGTAAAAATCTAATATGTGTACACAAAAAAAAAAAAATATATATAACATTTAAATTAATTATAAACATTAAACATTATATTATTATATTATCAGACATGACCTATGAACCATCCAATTATTATAATTATCATTAAATTATCTATACAATTATTTAATTATAAAATATTTATAATGAAATGATTAATGCGAAGCGTGCTATCATTGGAATTTATTGAAAACAAATGTAAACACAAATTGTCTATATAAGCCCATTCGACGTAGCAAATAGTGATCAGTTATATTTGATTTTTACCACGGATATGTACCATTAATTTGTTTAAATTTTTTTTATAAATAATTCTCGATAAGTATTTGAAAGAGTGTCTTTTACTTATTGAAAAAAAAATATTCTTATTCCATTTTATTTTATTTTCTAATACAATAATTATCTGGTGTATAATAGAAGACTAGTGATCACTGCAATCTTTGTCTAAGGTAAGAAATACTTATTTACATATATTTATTTAAACATTTTAAGACATTTATTGAATTATTATGTTATTTGTTAACTTTAAAAAAAGGTAGGTAGGTAGGTATAATTATTATTAATATTATATTAAAAAATAAACTTATTTTTAACAAAGTTAAATTACTTTTATTCATAGGCGTGACTAGACTTCATTGGCAGGGGCAGCCTAGGTAATAACCGGCGGTACCTTATTAGTCGGGCTGGGATTTCGATGCACTTTGCATTGTTTTCCTAAGCTTACTGTGCAATGCTTACTTTGCAATCTTGTCACAAATTTGTTTTATGTACATTTGAATGAGAATAAGAAAGTTTATTTTGCATTTTTTGGCATTTTTTAGTTTTTAGGTCATTTTCTTAATTTTTTAGGGCATTTTAGAGTTTTTTGAGCATTTTTTAGTTTTTGGAAACCAAGTATGAATTTGAAATTTTATTTTAAGATTTTTATACCAACATGGTTTTTAAAAAAGTATAACAGATTAACTTTTTTTTTAGATTTATACTAAAACTATGTATTGACAGCTTACACTTGTAATGCATTTTTTTAAACTTTTTATTGTAATTTATACTAAAATTATTAAAAAAAAAAATGTTTAGATCATAAAACCATTTTTTTAGGATATTTTTCAGGATTTTTTTAGGGCATTAAAATCCCAGCCCTACTTATTAGTGAACTGAAAAAAAGCCCTATACACCCAAAGCCGTATTTTTTTAAGCCCCCCTCCACAATGAAATATTTACATAATTTTAAAAAAAGTCTAAACTATCTATTTACAATAATAATCTACAGTAACTTCAGAAATATTATTCATCCTTGGATTACCTACACCACCTAGCTACAAATCAAAAATAATACAGCAATAATTTCAATAATACCTAGATGCTTACTGTATCGTCGTCGTATGTCTCAAGTCTTTAAAGTGTGTTTTTTCCGATTTCGGAAGTCAGGAAATCAGTCTTTGTAAGTAAATGGTAATTATAACGATACCCACAAAAAAATCAAGTTAAAAAAAAAAAAATGTTATAATCCTCTGACTTAAAACTCGGTTGACCGGCACCTTTGAAAAATTGCAGGGGCAGCCCAGGCACCCTAGGCTGCCACTGTAGACACGCCTATGCTTTTATTGTATAATTAACTTGTAACTTTTCCAAGTTAAAACAAATAAAGGTAACTTTTAACTTTAAACTTAACTCACATTTTTCTAAATTAACTTAACGAGTTAACAAAATTAGTTAACTTGCCCAGCCTTGTTTATTTATCCAAACTGCTGGACTCGCATATCATCCAACATTCAATATACCATTAATATATTTGCCATATATATTATATATTATATATCTAATACAAAATTGTATATTATAATCTAGCTATATCAAGATGTACTTCCCAAGAATCATCACCTTCTCACTCATACAACAAACACTAGGATTTATTGCATATGACTGTGGTGGACCAAAAATAAACATAACGGCATTCAATAGTCTGAAAGTAGAATTTTGTGACCTTCAGACCGAAGTCAACGTTCAACCTATTCAGAGAATTCAGTTACTACAAAAAACAGACACTTATTCAATACCTTATAAATCATGTTCAATAATAATAAACTATTTCATATCAAGGTGCTCAGTACTAGAGGATGCACAAATGGTAGAAAATGGCTACTTCACAGAAATATCAGAACTAGGCAGCTCACGTTGTTCAGAAATTCACCAAAGATTAATTTATCACCTACCACTTGGGGGGGGGGGGGTGATTACAGGATTAAAAATAAATGAAACAAGACTTTTTGCCACTACAATAGCTGGATACATTGACAGAAATGGTAATTGCAAAGGTACAACCTTCACATCGGATAAAGGTACGTGGCAAGATGTTATTGTACAGGCCAATTATAAAATATTTCTGACCACTGGGGTGGCAATAGTGAATAGTAAAGAAAATACACTAATACTCTCAACGGGCACTTCATTTAAACTAACAGACCAATAAGGCATAGATGCATATAAAGGCGAAGTGATATGGGATTTAAATATATATGATTGTAATACCCATGAATTCACAATATTATACGATGGACCTGCATCTTTAATTACATCAATTAAAAATAAACATACTTACCTAGTTGAATCCGATCAAATAGTTTTTGCCCTCACAAGTATAAGACAAACATATGCCTGTCATATTCCAGTTATACAGACAGAACATCCACAATTAAATATTCTAACAGACTCTCAATTTTTTAACTTCTTCAAAACAAAAAGCATTTCTCCACAAAATACTGACTTAATGGCGTATATAAACACAAAATTTGTTTACATCGAAAACCGATTAAAATTATCCATAACTGATTTATACACAGATTTACTACATAAACAATGTGAGCTAGAGAGAAAAGTATTACAACACAAATTAAGTTTAGCTACATACAGTCTTTCAGAATTTGCCTATTCAATGGGTGAAGGACCTGGTTTCACAGCCATTAAGGCTGGTGAAATAATATATTTAATAAAATGCAAAGCGGTTGAGGTGGAAATTATATATAAAGATGTTTATTATGATGAACTACCTGTAACATATAACAATAAATCATATTTTATGGCACCGAAAACGAGGACTTTGCAGAAATATGGTACAGAAATAGATTGCAATCATCTATTACCATCTGCATTTCATCTTGATGGAGAATGGTTTTCAATAACATCAAAAATAAATGAAGTAAAAAAACCTCAAACCCTTAAACCATCAACGGAATGGACTTGGACTTACAAAAGCCCTGAACATTTAATGACAGCTGGAATTTACACTCATAATACAATGAAGGCCTTTCAACAATATTTATTATTACCTCAGGAGATAGAGGCCTCGCAAAAAAATCTTGCAAGACAAACCATGGGTCTGTCAGTAATGGATCAGAGATTAAATTTAAACAGCTTAATTGACGAAAATACAATAAGTAATCTCGTAGATACCAAATTAAAAAAAAATGTGGGGTTGGTTCACTGTGTTTGGGGAATTTGTCTCTGGTCTGTAAGGAATATTTTTCATTTGTAAAATAATATTGACATGTGTTAACACCGGTCTAAACATATCTATATTATATCAGACATTTGGATGGAGCCTGAAACTAATGGCAGGCATTTTCTCCAGCATTACCCATTATATAATGCACAATGAAAACCAACAACAACAACAACAACAAAAACACGAAGAACAAGAACATTCATTATACAATATTGACAGAAACCAAGTTCAAGGCATAGAAATGCAAAATTCATCATTTAGACCCCACATTAAAAATCCAACCAAATTGTATCCAAATGTCAAAAAAATATCCATTTAAAGATATAATATTATTAACATAGTAGCATTATTTTATATTAACTATTAATCAATAATGAGTAAGATATTAATATTTTAAAATTCAACAATTTTGTTATTTTCAAAAATAGTTATGTCAATAGTTTATCGTTCCAATGTTAATATTAATGTTTAAATTGGGCAATCACTGTCCTCTAACTTTACTTATGTGTAATATAATATTAAAAAAAATTATCTGTGTGCATTCTATACTTTTTAATTTGCTTTTATATGCGTGTCTAAATATTGTATTTCCTATACTATTATATAGGTAGCATATTATATTTTTTAACATTATGTAAATGTTGAACTAATTTTTATTATTTTTATTATAACATTAAATACTTTTATAGACGGGGTGACATTTATAAAAAAAATTTAATTACATTAAATAATTATATTCAGCTCTTTTATTATAAAATAATATAAATAAATTTTAATTGATTTGTTTTAATTATAATTTAATACTATATTTATTTTAATTTTGTTAATAACACTAATATAAATCATTTATTACTAGAGTTTTGATTTCAAACCAAAATAAAAATGTATACAATTTTGACTAATTAACTTTTTTTTTTTTATCATGGTACGAGGACTGGACTAGGAACTATGGTGCCAGTACTTCTCCTAAAATTTGACTAATTAACTGTTTAATACCTAAGCTAAACTCATTGCCGTTAAAATTCAAACACAGAAAAAATACTAACTTTAAATATTACCATACCATGTGAAACACTGCTTAGTGAGAATCATTTTGAATAGCATAAACAAAACTATTCTGGAAATATCCTATAAAAAACATACAAATTAAAAGTTAGGCAATTATGAATAATAAATATTAACTCACAGTTAACTAGGTACATTATACATTATCTTCCTTTGTTGTCAGATGTTTTCTGTAATACTATGTTTTTTCTAGATAAAAAACTAAAATTTATTCCAGAAATGAAACTTATTTAGTTAATTGGAAAAAATAAAAGGACTTGCTAGGTACACGCATAGCAAATTAAATAATGAAAAAAAAATATCAAAATATTCTGTGATAATGACATAGGTAATAACCGTACATATTACGTTCAATTAGTTAATTAGTAGTATATTTCTTATTTATAGGACACATTTTTTTTTTTAATTTGTTTTTTTTAAACTAATGTAGTTAAATACGGCGAAAACGATGATGAAGTCAGAATTTGGAGCTCGGACAAAGTTTTGAAGTTATGACACTTCAAAGTTAGTAGGCACCTATATAACATGTTAACTTAAGAAATTCACAGATTCGGGCGGTCTATCCTAACTTTTTTTTAAATTGTTTTTATGATAACTGATGCAACAATAAATTAGTAATTACCCTGTGATCTGCTTGAGGTGATGTTTCATAACAAATCGAGGGATATATTAAATTTTCGGAGCGGAGGCACGGCACTGTGTGGCGTGTGCTGCAAACTGTGTAATTACTGCAGGTCTGCACTATTTGAAATCTGAAGGGTCATAATTTCGAAATTATGTCCGACCGCCAAATTCTGACTTCACCATCGTTTTCAGCGTCCTTAATTACATAAGTTTAAAAAAAAATTGCAAAAAAAAATGTTTCGCACGGCGCACAGTAAAAATGTTCCGGATAATATGATTGTTTTTATAAAATAATAACGTTTGATAACAGTCGGAGAAATGCTTACGTCACAGACATGCGTATCACAAAGTTGCTGACATACCTATTTAATTTGTCATGCCTACTACTTACTATCAAGTCGGAGTTGGCAACAGCGAAGTCATCCCCAACGGTCGCAGGAGACGCGCGTAATTATTTATCATAATCCAGTGTTGGTGTTGATAGTATCATTTATTGATTATTCTATGTTAATATTTATACTTTGTATTTTTCCTATTGATTGGTACTGAGGCGCCGGTACCAAACCATTAGCCATTGCCTCTATTATTATTATCTCTTTTGTATTTCATCAATAAATTATTGTACGTGTCTTGCCATACGTGCATGTTATATATCTCAGAGTATAGTTGATGAGGTCATAGTCTGAGAATCCAACTGTTACATTGGTCCTGGTATTCCTTCAAACTGTTAGCTTTCGTTGATGTAGTCAATGAGGCTGACCACTAAAATCGTAGGAGCCTCTTGACTAAACAATATATATTAACATAGCTAACATAATAATTTTTTTTTTTTTTTTTGTTTTAACGACTAAAATGGGTGTATTTTACAGTAAGGTACCCGAATTCGCAATAGTAGATCAATTCATTTTCCAGTTTCTTATTCTCTTCTTTTGCCTTTTGACTATAATTTCTTAATTGTTTATTAATACATTCTATTTTCTTTAATTTTGTCTTAAGCTCTTTGATTTGTGTTTCAGGATTATTACTGTAAAAATTAATGATTTGATTTAAATTATTTGTACACTTCGACACAATAATTAATAAGTTACTATTTACTTGTGAATTATAAATATAACTAATTTAATTAACATACTTTTTTGGTCTTCCTATTTTTGGTAATCCACATAAACTTTTTCTTAAACGTTTAGTCCGAGGAGTTAACTGTATTTCATCAATATTATAAGGCTCAGGAAAATCATTATTTATATTACTAATTGAAAATAGTGACTTTTTAGCTGAACATAATTCTGAACCTGATATGTTATTACTTGTTTTGAAACTCCTAAAATTGTTAAAATTTAGTAAATGTATAAACTTTTATACTAATTTATATTATGTTATTAGTTTACTTTGCCATAGCCAGTAAATGCGGAGAACTAACACCCACACAGCATTTGGGGAATGATAATATTTTGTGAATATTTTAAAGTGCTTGTATAATGAATATTTGACTAACAATATTGTACAAATATTTTTTTCTCATGGTAACAAAATATTGTACCATATGATTGTATAAAATATTGACTCAATATTTTTATAAAGTTTCCATGAAAATGTTTTTGGAACAATGTTCATACAATTTTTCTTAAATATTATTTGACAATATGTTATCAATAATGTGAACAATTATTTTGTAAATATTTTGCAATGGTTGAAAAAAAATATTTTCAAGCTAATTATTATAAAACTTTTATTAAATATTTTATTAATAGTTTAAAAAAATGGTCTATTAGCATATTATATTATTATATATAAGCATAATATTATAATATAGACTATATTATAAAAATTAAATAGTTATAGCTGCAGTATTACAATAGAATTATAATGAGCTATCGCTCGTATAGTTCATCATCATCAATTACATTTTTAGTGGTAATAGTACAATTTATTAATATTATGTATATTAATAATAATTAATATATTATTTAATATATATTATATACTATAGCTGAATTACCCGACGTTGCAGTTGCCCGGAAAAATTAATTCTGATTGTTCAACTCCTTATTTGGGTGTCATCAATGTCTTTTTAAGTGTAAATAATATTATATTTTAATGTATTATAGCCATCCCGATAGGCGTTGTCTGTGAGTTTCGCGGCAGTAAATTACTATCAGGTAGACAATCTACCTGCGGTAGATCGCGGACCCCGCTGTGGTTTGTACGTAAGTGTATAATTTAACTCTTAAGTATCAAAATTATACCAAGTTAGTCGTTTTTACTTAATTCAACCTACGACGAATTATTACGATAAATTAATACAATATCCTTACCTATCCTAACCGTTTTTAAATCCAATGAATAAAAAAAAAACAAATATATGTATTATGTATGTATAGGTATAGAAAAAGAAGAAAAATAAAATAAAAAAAAAAACAATGTGAAAACAGTGCAAAAAATCGGTCCACCGAAACCGTGATTCGAACCTGAGACATTCTGTATTAAAATGCATAATATTATAGTAGTGCAACAGCACCAACAGGCGTATCCACGTATCACTTAATTATTATTATTATTATTATTATTATTATTATTAAAACCCAGAGCAACCATTTATAAACAACAATTAACATCGTAAATCTCAAAATGTTTGTTATTTGAGCACCTCCCCGGGTTGGACCTCCAATTTACCCTTTTTAAATTAGCCTATCTTCTGCCTATAGGTCTAATCTATCTCTGTACCAAATTTCATCAAAATCGGTCCAGTCGTTTAGGAATGCATAAAGGACAGACAGACACACAAACATTCATTTTTATATATTACTAGCTGATCCCGTGCACTTCGTTGCCCGTTAAATGTATCAACTCTATATGACACAATAACTTTGTTCGATTCGTCATTTAATATTCTGTGTATGGTGCTCAAAATTTATCTTAACTTTTCCGTTGCCTGGAATAAAAATTCTGATTCGCAGCAGTACATTATCAGGTAGGCAAATCTACCTGCAGTAGATGTTTGTACGTAAGTGTATGATTTAACTCTTAAGTATCAAAGTTATACCAAGTTTGTCGTTTTCACTTAATTCCACCTAC